ACTTTTATTATTAAGCATTTTTTCTAAAATCACTTTAAAATTCTATCTTTAAAAGTTAAAGCAATAAAAAAACTTCTTAATTTTGCTACATGGCACTTGCTTACGGACCAACATTGCTTTAAAAAAATGTATTGATAAATCTCCAATTCCGTCAAAACTTTAATCATAATAATATACATAGTATATTTTTGAGATATTTTAAATAGAGGACAATTCATATCAGGTCGGCCTGACAGGACCAGCCAGTCGACCAAGGCCATTTGGGGTCTTCTCGTTGGAATTTTTTGATGAAATTTTTTGACCATGTTCTTCATCAAGTTTAGTTTATGTCCATTAAATTTCAGCTAAAAATTCAATTGGGAAAGCCAGTCAAATGTGGAAACGAAGAACACTGCACTATATATGTGTGTGTGTGTGTGTATATATATATATATGTGTGTGTGTGTGTGTACACACACACACACACGTATATCACAGTGGTTTTAAATAATTTATTCATCTGCCTTTCTGATTGAATTTTAAGCTGATAATTGGTGATCATAAACTAGACTTGATGAAGATTAAACCCTTCAATATGCCCCATCTGTAGACATCACTCTGAGGATCTCAACCACATTTTTCTTACTTGTGAGAAGATTAAACCAGTATGGGACTATGTTGGGCCGCGGGTATGCGGTGCCAGCAACAGCCAGCCTGCCGGTGCAATCGGACCGCGTGGCGCTTCGCTTGTGCTATAATGGGGGAGGAGCGTGCTTCACTATCAGCGATTGCTTTTAGCGTAGCGGTAAGCGCAACGATCCACAAGTGGTATCAGAGCCAAGGTCACGGGTTCGACCCCCGGCAACAGCATGCTGCGCAGTTGTAGGCTGGCAGGTGCTGGGGGGGAGATTGTTGGGCCGCGGGTATGCGGTGCCAGCAACAGCCAGCCTGCCGGTGCAATCAGACCGCGTGGCGCTTCGCTTGTGCTATAAAGGGGGAGGAGCGTGCTTCACTATCAGCGATTGCTTATAGTGTAGCGGTAAGCGCAACGATCCACAGACTACTTTATGGGACTCTTTAATATTCCTTATCTTTTTAACACTGAAACTATTAGACAGGTTTTGGTATCTTGGTGGATGAAAGTCGGGTCTAAGAAACTAGAGGATGTATTTAAACATTACCTACCTGGAATTATATCCTGGTTTATTTGGAAGGCTTATGCAGAGATTATTTGGGGATCTGGTAGTCAGTTTCCCAATTATGCCTCCATCATTCATCGCATCAAAGACTTTACTCAAATTTGGGTATCTAGTTTTTCTTCTGTTAAGCTTCGTACGTTGGGTGAATTTTTATATGAAGAAAACTTGGTACCTAAAAACTATAAACTCAACAAACCGCTGATTTCGGCTGTGAAATGGAAGAAGCCTACCAAACACATCAAATTAAATATCGATGCTAGTTACTCACCTCAATGTGCAACGGGAGGAGCGATCTTGAGGGATATGGAAGGTCGTTCAATTCTGGCCGCAGTTTTTTCAATTCAGGCTTCATCCTCTTTTGAAGCGGAACTGCTCTCGATGCTCTTTGCTACGGAATGGGTGATAAGAGAAGGTTTTTCCGACTTCCAGGTTGAAGTTGATTCTATGGTGGTGCTTGATTACATGAAGGATGGCGGTTCAGGTAGATGGCATTGCAAGGTAGATAGGTTGTTGGCTTTGTCTGGATTCAGCGGTGTTTCCTATTCTAATGTTTGGAGGCAAGCTAATTGGGTCTCTCACTTCCTGGCCCATCAGGACTTGGCCCAATGGAATTATTATAATTGTGTGCAGGATCTTCCGGCCCAGGCTCGGAATTCCTATTATATGGATCTTTTTGGACTCCCCTCTCTTCGTATTGGTTGATCTTTGGGTTGGTTTTCCATACACTTTTTATTTTCATACCAATTTCTTCTCAGATGCTTTGGTCTGGTCCTCCTCTCTTCTGTATTCCTTTTATTTTTTAATAAAATTTCGGTAAATGACTCCCGGCATTTACCCCACTGATTTTGGTGGTTGATCTTCCGGGATAAAAAAACTAGACTTGATGAAAACATGCTCAAAAAATTGCATCAATAAATAGCACAGTGGTTTTAAATAATTTATTCAACTCCCTTTCTGATTGAATTTTAAGCTCATAATTGGTGACCATAAACTAGACTTGATGAAAAACATGCTAAAAAAATTGCATAAATAAATTTCACCGGGAAGGGTCCCAAATGGCCTTCTTGTGATGGCGAGTCCTATCAACACATGTCATGAAATTATCTATATTTTTCAGATTACTCATAAGTCTATAGACATAATGGGCTGGAGAAAGCTCATTTCTAAAGGTAAAATTACATATAATGCCTAATATGTGATTAAAACAAGGATAATGTACAAAATTAAATATGAATTAATAACTTTAGTGATTATAATCATCTTCAAATTTTACATCACAATGACATTAAAAGTGTACTCATAATACTTTTAGTTACATATAAACAATAATTTTATTTTAGTACTCCGTAATATTTTTAGAAAAAGTGTGACAACAAATATTTACAATATCTTAAAAATATGTTAAAACATAAAAAGTTTTACAAGTCCAAGCTTCTTTAAAAAGTATACACTATTACAATGTTGGATCCACCATTAAGATATTGCATAAAAGGACAAAATTAAGGTATACACAATAATACTTCCCTCTCACTGATATCGGAATATGAGGAAGTGATACAATTATTAAAAAAAATGAATTTATGCTATTAATAATGAATTGATAAAGTAAGAATAAAGTAAAAATGATTTAGAACTAAACAAACTATATTAAATTTGCTATAATAAAATCTTAGTGGAGATTAAAATGAAGGATGGAACAAGGGAGATACATAATTGTACCCCAAATACATAAGATTGCTTACGCATTAATCTTGATGTTCTACCGTGTGAAGCAACTTAAAGAAGAAGAAAAAGTTTATGATGTCTCTATCTGTTTATAATCTATTTTGGGATATTGATTAATTTTAAAGTTTTTCTAAAGTTTAAAGCTTGTTTAATAAATAGAAATTGCTTTAAGTATGAGCAAAAACGTTTTGAAATTCCAAAACAGGAGTATCATGTTTTTTATTCCTTGAAAATGAGTAATCTGTCAAGTTTAGAAAAAATGACATGTTTAAAGCATACTAATGCCAAACTTGGCAGAAATTTACTCTTATTCAAGGAATATAAAACATTATACTCTTATTTTGGAATTTCAAAACGTTTTTGCTCCTATTTAGGGAATTCTCTCTTTAATAAATGTCTAGAATTAGTTTAAATCTCTTGTAATTGTGACTCAATCTATTTAAACTTGGTAATTGAAGAATTATACTTTTTTGGAAATAAATTGAAGTATTATACTTGGAGCCCGTTCCGTGATATTCAAATTGACTGAATCGGCTAACTTTACGGAAATTTATGAAATTTTGGCTGAAATGTTTGAGTTGGCTGATTATACTGATTTATAAGAAAATCATATTTAAAATATATTTATCAATAAAATAAAGAAAATATTATATGCAGAAGTAGCTAAAATAGTCCACCACGATAACTTTAGTCAATTCAGCTATAAAATTAACTTCGACCTTACTTTTTTTGAGTATTACACAATTCAACGCACGAAATCAAAAGTTACACATTTGATGAAAATGTGGATTGATAAGAATAATAAGCTGAAGACAAGATTATCAAATGGACTCTTAGAATATATATTTTCAGTAACATCAATAAAATATTACACAAAAAGTTAAAATGATCAATTTCAGTCCATTCAATCTCAAATATACATCTAACCTTATTTTAAGTGTATACTGTATATAGATATTATAGATTATTATAGAGATAAATAAGTCACGATATAAAAAAAGCTTTTAATTAATTAGAGAAAACCAAAATAAACTTTTTTACGGTAAAACAAAAATAAGGGTAACGAAAATTATACCGTGCAACCGGGGCACCATGAGGATGGTGCACCCGGTTGCAAAACGACGTAGGATTGTTTGTTTCTTTTCTTTCTTTTTTTGCTTTTGTTGTTAAAAAATGATAATACCTTTTTTATTTTTGATCCGATTTTTATAAAATTTATATCAACATTTTTTATTTTTCATGATCTTTCAAATGAGACCAATCTTGCTTATGTAATTTTAAAAACTTATCGAACTATTATATTAATGGTATTGGATTATAAGGAAAATCGAACTAAATTTAATTTAGAAAAATAATTGTGTAAATCACAATTTATCTTAAAATTGTGTATATAAAAAATTTATTGTATTATGTATTTATACATGTGAGTTACATATTTTTATACGTGAAGTTACATATTTTTACACGTAAAGTTACATATTTCTACACGCAAGTTACATATATATACACACGAGTTGCATATGAATTGCAGGGAGATGATAGGTTTGTGAAATAGAAGATCGAATCTGTTTGGGAGTGGATCAGTGACCTCAGTTACATTGAGTTACATCTTTTTATGAGCGAGTTACATCTTTTTATAAGCAAGTTACATATTTATACACGCGAGTTACATATTTATACACACAAGTTACATTTGACCTGTCTGAACGCGAGTTACATATTTTTACACGTAAAGTTACATATTTTTACACATAGAGTTACATATTTATACACACGAGTTGCATTTGACCTGACTAGACGTGAGTTACATATTTTTACACGTAAAATTACATATTTTACATAGGTTAATATAATAGTTCGACAATATGTTAAAATTACATAGGCAATATTGGTCTCATTTGAAAGATCATGAAAAATAAAAAATGTTGATATAAATTTTATAAAAATCGGATCAAAAATTAAAAAGTTATTACCATTTTTTAAAAAAGTTTTGGGAGTGGATGTACGGTGCTCATGCTGAGTCGGTCGTACCGTATAGAAACTCAACGAATAGCGAACAATGGGGTCATACATTTTTTATTCAATATAGAAAGTGATAATGACCCTATTATTACTAATTATTATTATTATTATTATTATTATTTTTATTTTTATACAAAATTCGAATTATATATTGCTCTATGTCTGTTCTCCGACTTAAGTTTAACTGTAGCATATCTCGGCAACTAATCCTCCATTACACTATCACCAGAAGCCACAAACTTTCAGTAAATCTCCCTTTCTCTATATCCGTAAGACTGTAAGAGTATAATGTGGTATATGTGGATTCAAACTGTTTGTGACTTTGTGTATTATAAGAAATAAGAAACAGTTTTAATGAATTTGTTTTCTACAAAAACCATTGTTGATGTATTTGGAGTAAAGTTTTAATCTACACTGTTATGTCTGTATGATCACTGCTGTCACATCTGGAATTTTGACTTGCGGTTGAGGATCTGAGAACAATGCGAATCGTGTATTTGAAGCTTTTCTGGTCGTTTTGGTTGTTACATGTGTCTGTATATGTAGTATGTACTGGTAGGGAGGGGGCACTTGTTTCGTAGACATAAGTGAATGTTTACTTGCGGATTTCTCATTCGTTCGGGTAAAAAGTAAAACGAATATTGTTTAACTGTTGTTTTCTGCTTGTGATTTTTACTTTTGGTATGATTTGCGCTGAATCTGACCGCTGTTTGGTGTAGGATTCAGTTGGAATTGTGAAATTGGGGTTTCATTTTAGCCGAATCTGCATTGCGGTGTACTGTTTTAGTGTTTCCAAAGAAACCCCTTTGAAGTAAGAGTATCAAATTATATTTTCTGCGTGCCAGTAGCTGTGTGTTGACATCATAGTGATTTCAGGTGAGAAGAAATGACGGGTTTGCTGATTATTCAACCTCTTGATCTCAAATTCACATGTAAGTTCAATAAAAGACGTCTTCTAATCATCTGAGGAAAACCTAAGCATTACTTAAATTCCTTTTGTAATTTTTCCTCTGGATCATGTATTTTATATGGCTTGAGAATAATATCAGTATGAATGCCTTGGGCTCTTTTTATCAATTTTGGCCTTGTTTTTTGTAATCTCTTCATGCCTTGATACTGTTTTGCATATATTTTAAGCTTTCTTTGGATGTATTTGTATCTTTCATTGTAATGCTTGTAAATCTTCTAATACTATTTCTTCTGCTCCAGTTGAGTTGCTGAAGCAAAGTTCCTGTTCTGTTACTCTAATCAATACCACAGCTCAATGTGTAGCATTTAAGGTGAAGCAATTTTCTTTTTTCACGAAATGATGTGATATCTATGTGGAACACATTCATGTTCGTTAGAGTTTTTTAGTTAAACTATATAGCTTAAAATCCTCATATGCTCAATCATCCGCTTTGACGGTTTTCTAGCAGAAACATACGTATTTGAATCTTAAAATGCTTTTCCCTTTTTCTCCATTAACTGAATATGTCATGTGAGAAAGCCGATCCTCTCATTTTGCAGGTAAAAACAACATCACCTAAAAAATACTGTGTCACACCTAATATAGGCATCATCAAGCCAAACTCAACAATTAATTTCAGAGGTACAAGTGCTAATCCTTTTGTGTTCGAGTACTATGAAGAATTCTGCCCGAAAACTTTCTGCTATTAGGCTTCTACATGTCTTCTGCTTTTAGAGAGTACCGAATGAATAATTACTTCATTAGGAATAAAGCACAATTATCCACTGGAAAGTGCTGTGGCGTTATATTTCCAACTAGCGTTCTGTCATATGAATCATTTGAATGTATAATTTTTTAGCGACTCATTCACCACAGTTAACCGTTGTTATGTTTATAATAAATAGAATTCAATGCTCCATTCTAGGAGGCCACCTATGAGGGATTACTAAATTGTTCTTAGTTGTATTTTCTATCTTCACTATCATGTAGTGCATGTTTGGCATGTCATTTCATCTCGGCTGTACATAAAAAATTGATTTTAGTATTTCATCTGCCCATATCTTTGTTTGTTCGGTAGATAATTTTTTTTCAAAATAGAGTAAATGGAAAATACTTAATGTAGCTTTCCTTTAAATCTATTTAGGTCTTTTCATCTAATTTTTCTAAACATGCCTGTTTGTTTCATGACTTCATCCCCTTCTTCCTTCATTAATTCTCATTTTCGTATACTGTTTCATCGTTCATCTAGATTTTCATCTAATTGTGCCAAGCATACACCTAGTTTTTTCAAATTCCTACATATCAGCTTGCTTTTTTTATTATCACATATCACTAACTATCTGTCCTGACTGTTCTGCTGCAATGCAGTTACTATGCAAGCTCAGAGGACTGCTCCAGTTGATATGCAATGCAAGGATAAATTCTTAATTCAGAGCACTATTGTGCCCCATGAGAAGATGGAAGACAAAACTATTTCTGAAATGGTACAATTCTTTTACTACAATCAATATTCAGTGAATGAGGCTATATAATCGTTTCTTATGGTTGTTTCTTTTTCATTAGTTCATGAAGGATAAAGGAAACTACATCCAAGAGAACAAGCTAAGGGTCTTTCTGATCAGCCCTCCACAGTCTCCGGTTTTGCAGCCAGTTAATGGAGTCCCGAAGGAAGACTCTCCTGACAACTCTCCAACTTTGAAAGAAAAGTTGCAGATTGGAGTTGAAAATCTTCCTCCACCTCAAGAGGTACAATGACAAATTGGTCACTGCAATTTAACTACCATGCTAACCAGGAAAATGTTTAGGGTTAAGTACATCTTCCTCCCCCAAGGATTAGTAGTATTACAAAAAGACGCTTGTGTTTTCTGAAATTTATAATTAAACCCATGGATTAGTTACATTTCTACAAAAGACCTTTTTTAACAAGAATATAATGACATTAACAAGAACTGTGCGTTTTCAGATTGGGTTTGTTGTTTTGAAATGCTTTTTCTAACAAAGAATCTCTCGGGTACATATAAAGAGTAATTTGGTATGAAAAACTCAATTCCTATCAATATCAATATATGCTTCATCTTTCAGTGCCATTTGTGTAAATTCTGAGTGGTCTAGGGGCTTATTTGTATTTTCCCGAAACTTCAGGGTCATTTTCCGAATTGACTAAACACTAGGGGTGGTGGATGTATTTAACCCAATGCTTACTAACTTTAAGTAGAATTTCCCATGACAAAATGGATTTGTTTACTAGTGGCAGCATACTGAGAAGATTGAGGATACTGAAGTTGGTGCTTGGAAGGACCCAAGGTTTGGAAAGATTATGGAAGTTGATTTGGCTCATCCTAAGCATAAGCTCAATAGAGATAAGGTTGCAGAACCAATATCTGTGGAGGTTAAAGAAACAACAGAGGTGACCTCTTCCAAAAGCTTTGAGGAAATGAAGGCGAAGCTGGGTGTTGAATCAGTATCTGTGGCGGGGGATATACAAACAGGAGTGGCATTTTCCAAAAACTTTGAGGAGTTGACGACAAAGCTAAGTGTGAATCCAGGTTATGCAAAGGGTAAGAAACATAAGTGACCTTTTGGATCATAAAATTCTAGGCAAAGGAGAACAAAAATACTAAAGAAAGTTATTTCCTTGTGTTTGGTTTTACTTTGGAAAAAGCAAAGGGTGATGAAAAATGATTTATTTAAGAGATGACGAATTAACTGAGTATAAAAACGTCTTTAAAAAATTCATTGAGTTTTAATCGATCTTCGAGCCCCCCCCCCCCCCCCCCCCCCTGTTCTCTTTCCTTCTAATTCTCCTAATCTCCTCTATGTTATTTATTTTTTCTCTCCCGTAGAATTTTCTGGTGTACAAACGGACTCTGAGCAGTCGAAGCCAAAGTTAGGTGTAGAGCCAAGACCAGTGGAGTATGTTGGAACAGCACAAGTGTTGTTACCCAAAGACAATGAGAAGTTGAAGGAAAAGTTTGTGGCGGGTTCAAGATCCATGGAGGATGTAGAAACAACAGAACATGTATCTTCCAAAGACATTGTGGAGTTGAAGGAAAAGCTAGGTGTTCTGAACTTAAAGCTGATTGAGGTTGACATTCTCTTTCTGTATTTATATTAAGTTTGTGCTTTCCTTACTAATTGGTCTGTATTCGTAATTGTGAGGAGAATGTTTAATGGTGTCCGTTATTGATCTCCTTTCTTAATTAGAAATTGTTCAACATTATATTCTTTTATATTTCATTGTTTTTATTTGCTAGATAGTAGTAACACAATGCTAAAAGACCACCATGAGTAATGGGTTACCATGCACTCCCTCTATTTTAAAAAAGAGTGTCTACTAACTAAATGCATTTTGTTAAGTGACTATTATAAACCATGAAAAAAAATACTACCTCCGTCCCATAAAATTCTTTCCACTTTGACTTGGCACGGAGATTAAGAAAGTGGAAATGTATGGTTGTGGTTGTGTAAGAAAAAGGTGAAATGAATGTGAACCACACAAATTGTCCAAAAATGGTAAGTGGGAAGAATTTTTTGGGACGGCCCAAAAAGGAAAGTGGGAAGGATTTTATGGGACGGAGGGAGTAATAAAAAGAAGTTTACCTTACATACTTATATCACTTTTGCTTGTTTTTTCAATACCTATAAAATGAAGTGTATGTTTGTCAATGATAATAACATTAATGACTTGGTAAATTTAGTGCAGTACAAATTATAGGGTATAGGTGGTGGACTGCATTGTTGTATTTAAAGTTAGTCTTACTAGAGTGGGCTGTAGTAGGAGCTAATGAGTGTTCATTATAGGCAGAACAAACAGTTTTAAAGTTAAACCAAGAGAAGGAAACAATTGCTAAAGAGAAGGAAACACTGATGCAGGAAAAGGTCTCTCTCTCTCTCATGGATAATTTGATGGATCAGATTGTTTGATAATTCAATCTTTATTGAAGTGTTTTTCCTTGTAAACAATCCGGTATTGGCCTTTGGCAGGTTCTTTTGAGGAGGAAGACTGGTTCGAGGAAAGTTCAAGTGGGATTCCCTCCTCTATTTGTTTGCATGGTGGCACTTGTTGGTTTAGCAGTGGGATTCCTTTTACGGTCTTAGTGCCAGTGGGTATTATGTGTTCTTCCTTGAGTTTCCGAAGAGTCAAATTCCCCTAGCAGCAAAATGCTCTCCAAATCCAACATTGAATGAAAATATCTTTGTAATGTTCAACAGAAAGAGAAGATTGTTATTATGTCTTAACAATAGGGATTACTTTTCTTTATATTAATATACGTAGTATTTAAATTATCTGTAGTTCTTCCTCTTTCATTTTGTCGTGCATATTTTATTATATTGGTGATGGCATAAATATCCATAAAGAAATTATCAGATTAAGTTAATTCTTCAATTTAAAGCGTGCTTGGTAAGTGTCCAAGACTCCAAGATGAGTGAGTTGTCATTCCCTTTATTTGAAAATGTAACTTATGTTACTTGAGAAGAGAAGCTTTAAATCTTCATCACATCACCACTATTAAATCTTCATCATATCACCAATTCACCGTTAATTAAATCCTAAGATCTTTAACGTAAATTATTGTCAAATTTGGAAATAATGATAAAATGTGGAAAAATATTAACCCAAATTTGAAGGGTGTTCTGGCCTGCGGTAACGTCACGTCTAGGGGTGGATCAGGCCTGGGCAGGGCCGGGACCCGAGACGAGATTGGTCGGGACTGGGGTTTTGAGTTGCAAGCCCGGTACCGGCTCGGGTTTGTACCGGGACCGGGGCGGGCTAGGCTCGAAGGTGGATTGGAAACGTCCTTGAACAGGCTTTATTAAAATCAATGTGGATGCCGCTGTTAATCTGCAGGCGACGGGCGAGGCTTGAGACTTGTAGCTCGGAACGATGAATGACTTTTTATTGCAGGTAGAGGTGTGTGAAGAGGACGATTTTCTCCAGGCTTGACAAAAGCTCAGGCTATAGAGTCGGGATGGAGAAATGTTATTGTAGAGTCTCGTGCACTACAAATAGTACATGGTATTGTGCGGGAGGACAGCCTCGAATATAATATTCTTAGATTTTTTTTTAGAAATATTAGTACAGGGTACAAATTTTGCCAAAGTACGTGTCCACTATGTGCACCAATCAGCGAACAACATTGCCCATATCCTTGTTGGGGAAACTTGTTCTGGGTCTGATGGTTTCTGGTTGGGTTTTCTCCTAGTTGTATCTTCCATGCTTTGACCGACGATGAGTTTTAATAATAGTTATTTGATTCTCAAATAAAAACGTAAATTTACTGTCAATGTATTTATTTTAAGAATTGGCATGAGCGCATACATACGACTTGTATAATGAAGTTCGAAATGCCATTTGTAATTTGTAAAAGCCAACTCAAAGGTGATGTTCGAAGAAATGACTCAAGTTATTGAGCATTTGAACTAGCTTAACTTAACTTGTATACTGAAGTTTGAAATGTCATTTTATTCCAATTTACTTCAGAAAATCAGTTAAAAAAGGACAGATTGCATTGATATTCAGTTTTCATTGCTATTAAATATTAATCAATCGAATCATCATAAATGCGTAATAAAAAAATAAGACCTGGTGAAAATTTACGAGTATTCTATAAAAATGATAAGTGTTATTCACAGATCACCAAAGGGACACTTAGGGTGTGTTTGGGAGTTGGTTTTTGGAGGGGAGGGGAAGGTTAATGGGGGTTTATGACCTTCCTTTTAATGTTTGAGTTTAAAAAATTGGAGGGGTGGTTTTGGAGGGCTTTTGTAACCCTTCAAAACCCTCCAAATGCTTAATTTTTAAGTTCCCCCAATTTGGAGGGTTTTGAAGGATAATTAACAAAATGATAATTTGGAGGTATGTTGTTGGAGGGGAAAGGGAAGGGGGGGTGAGGAAGCCCTTCTTTGTATTTGGGAGTAATAAAATTGGAAGGAGAGGGTTTTTGAAGGAATTATAATTAAAATCACTTTGAGATATGACAAATTCAAATCATTGAGTTGATATTCATTTTTAATTTAGCTTAAATTATCATTTTATTAATTATCCTTCAAAACCCTCCAAATTGAGGGAACTTAAAAATTAAGCATTTGGAGGGTTTTGAAGGGTTACAAAAGCCCTCCAAAACCACCCCTCCAATTTTTTAAACTCCCAAACATTAAAAGGAGGATCATAAAGCCTCATTAACCTTCCTCTCCCCTCCAAAACCCAACTCCCAAACACACCCTTGTGCAAAGTATCAAAGAAGGGTAAATGATAAATGCGTCGCTAAGAGTAAGAAGTGCTCGGGCATACATAAAACATAATCTATACACCCTTCCGTGATTTTCTACAGAATCATCAAGTGTAGGCAACTAGGAACAATTAGCACCTTTACAGTAAATGAACTGGTAAGCGGTTGCCCAGCGTAAGCCTCATCAACTAAAATTAAAAAAAAAAAACATATGTAGTGTACATATTAGAACAAGCCCGCAATCTATCTAATTGCCCATTTACAAAATCGTCACCCTAATACCATCATCCAAAAAAATATAAACAAGAAAAAAAGCACAACAAAAACTTTCTTTCCATGTCAAAAGCATGGACAGGCAAGCAGGGCAGATGAACAGGCATAGCCTTCTTACTCAGTGCCACTGTTGAGGGTCATTCTGTTCAGTAGGTGATCCAGGTACATACGGGACAAAGCCTCGCCCACCAAAGACGGGTCTCATGAATGCATTATCGAATTTTCTCCAGTAGTGATGGACGGTGTGAGACGGGGTTGCCAACAACATCCTCAAACTGGGTGGACGGGGCACGTGCCGCCCTCCTCCTTCAAGATTATCCTCCGAACCCTCCTCTCGGCTTAGAAGAAGTGGAACAGTGAATGATTTTGGTGACACTGGTTCCGAAGATATCATTCTGCTTAGGTGTTTTGGTGAGGGCCGCAATATTCTGATCAAAGGTTTGGTTATCAGCCCAAAAACCTGTAAAGATGTGCCCATTCTTAGTTATTGAAAGTCAAAATATCGGGAGATGACATGATAATCCAATGCAGAATGTGAATAGAAGATGAGATTCCCTTACAACTGTGCTGAAAAGAACAACGCTTATAGTGCTTGTGATCATTATTGCATGCTCACGTAACTGGGTGTATCCAGACCTTGTAAACTGCACAAGTTCATTTCAAAATGTAAGAAACAGAGCCCCTCCAATAGTTGTGAATATAAGATTGGTTCCGAATTTTAGTCCCACAACTACAAGGTCACTCCCACTTTCTCTCCCGCAAATACTAGGTCACTCCCAGCTTCTGTCCCCAACTTTCATTTGTATCCCACTTATGGTGTAAGAACATTTAGTTCTTGCTACTTTTCATCTTTTTCATGCTGCCAAATGTGACCACAATATTTCACTTAGGCAATTTGTACATTTATAGATCCCTTTCTTTTCGGCGAGAGGTTTTCCCAGTCACATTTAGCCAGACTAATGGCACAAAGCGCCAAGAGTTGAAAGGGTAACAATAGTCGTGCACATGATGGGAGCCCTTCTTAGAAGCTTATGAGGGCACAATCTAATGAGCCCACATTAATAAATGTTGAAATATATTTATGTGGGTCCCATTCAAGTAATAATTGTTTATCGTCACATGTGCTGCCGACGTCGGTTCCTTAAACTTTTTCTCTAAGAAGTGGAAAAAAATAAACTCAAGGACAAAATGCAAAAGTGTCCCAATATTAATGAAGCCATAACAGGAAAGGGAGCATGATATAATGGGGAACAACAGAAAGGTTGAGGCTATAAAAGGAAAGGTAGCATGATAATGGGGAACAACTGAAATGTAGGATGATCACAACTAGAATTGCTAGTTTATTTTTTTCATGTTTATCCCCCATTATCAACATTAGACACCAAAATTCACCAGAACACAAATAGCAAATCATCTGACCTGGTTATAAGCAAGAGCCATAGATACAGCCCCTCGCATTAGCCCAGCCCACCATATAATAAACTGTAATGCAAAGAAATATATCAGCTGAACATATAATAACACTAGATTAGTAAGAGAGAACAGATACTTTATGAAACACGTACTTGCTGTCTTATGTCAATCTTTTCACCCGGGGACTTCTTAGTCACGTTGGATATAAATGACAAAGGGAATACAAAGGCAGCTCTTCCAACTAACACCAGACCCAAAAGTATTGAGCTTACTTTAATTGATGTTCCCGGGCTGGCAAAATGATATTAAAGTTAGACATCCATCCAGCAAAAAACTTATAAAACCTCAACAAATAGTACTCCCTCTGTCCCAAAAAAAATCTCGAAAAGGAGTCCTGTTTTAACGTTTAAGTACAAATTCCTCTAAAGTCTAAAGCCAAACGGCAAATGATTTTAGTCAACTATTCTAAATGATCTTTGAAATAAGTGTTAAGGGTATAAGTGACCATCCATATGGTAAAAACTTGCAACTAGCTCGTTGCTCAAACATGACTCTTTTATTTGGGACATGGGAAGTATACACCATGGTGATTTTTTTTTTAGTGATGATAATAAACATACCTGTCACTTACAAATCTCCATTTTTCAATGTCTAGAGCATCCATGCCAACATAAAGGAATATGAATATCTCAGAAATAAATGACAATGTAGCAAATGCATGCCTGCACAAAAAATTGAATTCAATATTTAAAGGGAGTATTTACAACTATTTAAATCTCAGGAAAAACAGATCCAGAAAGACTGCCAAAAATAATTACAGAATTTACAGATAGTTATAGAGGGCATACTTGGTGGTGACTCTAGAACTTTCAGTGACATTATGCCAAGTGTAGTGCGACATGACAATCCCGCAGAAGAAGACTGTCAGGATGGCACTCAAAGCAAATAACTGCAAAGTATTAAACGTTAGTGGAAGAATGCTTTCATTTCCGATTTACGCTAAACCAAATAAGATGAAATTAAATTTGAAAATGATGGGTGCATTTAGAAACACTTACTTCAGCAAGCATATATGACAAATACGCCATAAGAATCATTATTGCAACCTCACGATCAGTTGAGTGCCTACACAACATGAGGTTTTTAGCTATGAGCTTTTGTTTTGTCAACAAAAACAGCAGAACAAATTATTAACTACTTGACGTTTTGAGATCTCTTTTTCATAGACCACCTCTATATAATCTGTACTGAGACAACGTACATCACTCCTCTTTGTTTTAAAAGCATATTCATTATGTCATCTTTCACCCTCACAGAGATAAGCTTTGGTACTTACAGATGACCCTACAATTGACAATCTAAATCACAATTTACAAGTGAATTTATATCCAAACCTGCCAAAGTAAAGCTTCTTAATAACAAATGCACTCAGCAAACCAGCCTGCAGGAGAACAAAATCAGATAT